AATGTAGATTATATTCTGGCCGGGTAATTTGTATGAATTTTATGAGCTAAATAAAAAAAAAAATTATACTTCACCGCGTATATGAGTAGATGCACCGCGGAAAGTGAAAGTCTGGTTCTGGCAAGGTACCGCGTAAATGAGAAACCTCGGAAAGTGAAACGTGTAAAGCGGGGTAATACTGTATACAGTATCTTCGATCTAGGGTACACTAACTTCTCTTTCCTGTATATTACAGTATGTACCTGTAGTGTGTTTTGTTTTTTCCTTCTATCTCTCATGCTCTGATGGGTTACATTCATTATCACTGCAACTAAATATACAGCCATGAAGAGAGTAAATATCTAAACCCTGGACCTCTGCATGTGGCAAGGTGGTAAACCCTCGCACTTCCGAATTTCAGTTGGTCCAGACCGATATCTAGATGTGGCAAATTTGTATCCGGTCTCTTTTTCTCAGTCCTTATACTGTGTTAACTCCCTCATTGATAAAATGGATTTAGTTCACGTCGTCTGGTGGACTTAGCTGTGAGGTGTTATGGTTATTTTTCAACTCGTATTTTCTGGTCGATTTACATAACATTCTTCATTTACTTTTACTCGGTTACTTGTACACAACATCCTACATACATATTGTGAAAAAGGTAAAAGGAATAATTGTCCTAAGGGCAAGCATAATGAGGGAATTTACATTTTTCTGCACACAAGTTAACTGGCTAAGGGAGGGAGGGTAAGCCGGTTGCAGAGGGGTGGGGGAGGGGGGCGTTGCTAGGGAATTAGAGTCTCGGCTTATCTTCGTTACTTTGGTGAAATGGAGTGTATGCAAATGGCCACTGTGTTAAACTTTCATTTGGCTTTTATTTATTGGTTTGGCAATCGTATATTTTTTTGTGACGTTTTTGTTGGTATCATTTTTATTTATGCCTCACAATTAAAATAATTAAAAAATTAAATAAAGAAAGCAAGACAAACTTTGTCCTCTGATAAAATATCTGCAAAATTTCAAGGGACCAAGGTGTCAATGTATGGGACACAGGTGCCCGAAAGTTTTCATCAATTGTTGTTTTGGGGGAATATTATTTCATTCACTCTAGTAATGATACAATCTTTCTTATTATGTTATCGTAGGTAAATAAATGGTTTATATAATTTGTGTTCAAATTACACTCCAAGATACTGTACGTATGGTATTTCTCCTATACATACTGTATTTCAATTGTATGCCTGGAACCTTGGAGCAAGTGAGTGACCGCTAGTTACAGCGTAGTCTGTAGTTGTAAACTCTCTTCACTCTGCCATATTTCACTGGATTTGCTGTTAGTATTAGTGTTTACTGATATAGTGATTAATCGTGGCATTATAGCCAGGTTGAACTCGTCACTGTAACCACCAGTGACGAGATTATTGGCCCTCACCTGTCTCTCTATCCACCACAGAGGCTAGCAGGGCCTCCTCGTCAAACCCCTCGAAGTCCACATCCTCACTATCACTGACTTGGGCTGGCTGTGGTGGTTGGTGGGTGAAGAACTCGGTGATGTTTTGTTGACGGCTAGTATTGATGTGGTCGTGATACAGCTCAACATAGGGCTCCTGGGATTTCAACAGATGATTATTAGACACTTCGTAGCGTTGATTGACTGGGTGTTTGGCAAGGATGAGCTTCATTCTCTCGGCTAATTTGATGATTTCCTTCACATCAGCATGTTTTAGTTTCTGCTCTTGTTGTTCTGTAACACCTCGCTGCTCACTGATGTCATCAGCTTTCAACATCTCGTCTGCAGTCACCTCAGATTGCCTGATTACCTCCAGGATGTCGTCGTTGGTGGTCTCAGAGAAGCCTGCAGCTCTAGCACCTTGTGCAGCCTCTCTTGCCTCTGCCTCCCATCTGGGATACTCTCCAACACATGCCACCACGCGTGCCGAATCGTTGCCACAGATAGCTGCCTCCATTAAGAAATCAACAGCCTTCTTCATGTTAAACAGCTTCCAGAACTGCTTGACCCACACTTCATGGTCCGCCAAATCTTGTTCATGTTCCTTGTCCTCGCTCTCGCTATCGGTACCACTCTAGGTTCTGCAGTTCATCCTTGGTGTTGGTGAAGTCGTTCAGGAGCCGAAACTTCTTGGCGAATAAAGCAGCCTTCACATTGCAAATCAACTCCTGATCCATGGGCTGGATTAACGACGTAGTGTTAGTGGGAAGGAAGACCACTTTTACGTTGGGGTGACAATCCAGCAAAAGGGGCGAGTGTCCTGGTGCGTTGTCGAGGAGCAACAAAATGTTGAATAGCACATTATTTTCCTCGCAGAATTTCTTGATATCAGGAACGAGACAGTTGTCAAACAAGGAGAGGGACAGACCAGAGAACATCCACTCCTTCCGTGAGGTTAGCTAGTGAACATCTAACTTGCTCATGTCCATATTCTTGTAGGCATGCGGCTTGTGGGCTTTGCGGATCACAGACAACTTCAGCTTAGCAGCGCCAGAGGCATTGGTGGTAAACAGTCCGGTGATGCGCTCCTTTTGCATTTTGCGTCCCCGACACTTGCTAGCAGCCTTGACTACGAAGGTCTTGGATGGCAATTTCTGCCAGTACAACCCTGATTCATCCATATTGAACACTTGGTCGTCGGTGTACTGGCCTTCCTCCATAATTTCCCGTAAAAATGGGGGAAAATTCCTGGCGGCAGCCCGGTCGGCACTTGCTCCTTCCCTGACTATCTCAATATTTGTGATCTTGTTGCGTCGTTTAAAACCTTGCAGCCACCCAGCGGAAGCACTGAAGGGCTTGGGCTCCGCAACCCCCATTTTTCTTGCTACTGCTGAGTAGAGTTCCCGGTAGTAGTCCTGCAGTGCCCGAGTTTCGACCATGTTCCTTCTTGACTGACAAATAATGTAGCTTACCAACAAACTCTCGCTCTTCAGCTGCACCTTATTGTGGCAATATTTCACCAGCGAGGCACCTACAGACTTGGTAATGTTCATGTGTTCTTTGATTTTGCCGGCATCCTTCTTGATAGTGCGGATCATCGATTCATTCACTCCATATTGTCTGACCAGATCCACCTGTCTCGTGCCTTTTTCTAACTTCTGGATGATCTTGTACTTTACCTCAAAGCTTAAGGCGCGTTGCACCTTCTTGGGCTTGAGCCAGGTAGTTCAGGGCTTCTCGGGGGTGGTGGGGGTCCTGCGGAAGCCATTGTGTCGAAAGAAAAAACAAAACCGGTTCCTGGGCACGAGTGAATGTATGCGGGAACACTGAGACGACTCAGCGTGGGTGGCAAGGATAACTAGACCAATCACAGCCCGCAGCGGAGGAGGTGCGTGTGTGATAAGGATACGTGGCCCAATTACAGTCCGCGATGTCGCCGACGCGAGTCTGACATCAGCGCCCAGCACCTTACCCCGCTGCTTGCCACTTATATAATGGCATTTACCGCTTAAATAATAATTATCTCTTCTGAGCAGGTACCGCGTAAATGGCCGCCTGCGTAAAACCAGACTAGTGTGTGTGTGTGGGGGGTCAATGTCTAGTATGACAATAGGGACGTTCAGTTTTAACTTGAACATTGATGGAGTATTAAAGCGTTAACATGACTAAATATTGTAGGGTGTCATTAAGCTGCAGTTGGGTTAACATGAATGTGTGAAAAGTCATTTAATATTGATATGGTTTTCTTTTGTCTCTTACAGATGGTGTTTGTAATGCTTCAAAGGCTCATCAGAGAGAAGACAATGCAATAAAAATATATTTGCCATACACTGGTTTTGATTTTGGTTATCATTAGAAGATAACGTTGGTTTCCATTTGTAGACAAAACTGATCCCCCTCCCAGACTTCAGTTGATTATATAACTAAGTGCATATACCTTCACATGTTGTTGTATTAATAAATATCTGTAATCTATGTACAGTATATCAATGAATGTTTGTCAAAAGAAATACTGTAACATTGGTATTTTAAGTTACCATAGCACAATGACATAACTAATCCAAATAAATATCAAATGTGTCTTATTTTCTTCACAGTCCATTAAAATTTGAGAGAATCAATTTAAACATCCAACATCCTTATGAAAGCCAATCACACATGATTGTAAACAAGTAACAGAGAATACTATGTTGAAATGTGATCGATGAGTATCGGAACATAAGATGATGAAAGGAAAGTACTGGGCAATGAATGGATGTCTATGGGATGCTTCTGAGTAAGATTATGGTCGACTGTGCGGCGTAAACTTTGAAGGCTCTTCCCCAGTTAATGTTCTCTGGGTGAACAGCGAGCCAAGTCTCAAAGGCACATGACAACACTGTTTTATGGACAAGAAAATATGCCTTTTGTTGCAGCCACATAATCCCCACAACATTGAATAAAAAATACAAATTATGGTTGTTCGGAATAGTGTGAACATATACAGTACAGTATACTAAACATGGAAGCTACAACACATTTTAATGGTATACAGATATCTCTCATTTAGCAATGGATAATGAGGAGTAGTATACAAACAAGGGAGAATGAAGAATAATATCCTAAACATGGGATAACGAGGAATTTTATCCATGCAATTATGTCGTTAACTGGTCACCCAGTAGCACTCGGAGCAGGTGAGGCCGAGCTGTGAGTTATCTTATGTTATTGTTCGGTTCATAATTTCAAGTAGATTTATGCAATTTTCTTATTTTTTATTACAGTACAGTACTTTGTTACATGCATACAAAGTCGTTCATACAGAATGTGATAAAAATAAATAAAATCAAACTTATACTGTAAAGTCAAAATTATGAAGGGAATAAACATTTCTTATATGCACGGTAGTTAGCACTGAGAATGGGGGAGGGAGGAGCAGTTGAGCAGTCACCACGTTGACTATAGAGAAGTCTGAAGTGTATGACTGCTGGTTGTGTATGCTGTGACATCACAAAGGGAAGAGTGCAGCTGGCCACAGTTACAGCTCTATATTTTTATGGTTTTATATTATGGTATATTAATCAAAGCCACATTAGAGTATTGTAATGATGTGTATTTGGAGCACAGAATCCCCATTTTTTCCAACTTCCCTCCAAAATTATCCCCAATGAGTTGAACATCGCGAAACCAAAAAGTGACTATCGTTAAACAAGAAAGGATGTTAAGAATTTTATATCGTTAAACCAAAATATCACCAAGTTAATGATTGTTAAATGAGGGATACCTGTTTGTCCAAAAATGAAACTACTGGTGAAAATGAAGGTCAATGTGACAATGATAGTATGAGAGACTAGTGAATTAAATCATATACAGTGTAAGAGGACAATAAATACAGAGCTTCACCAATGCTTGTGGTGTTATAATTCTGGTCATTCCAATTCCATGCTATGAAATATTTACAAGGCAGTATTTACACAACTCCTTCACTCAGCATTCCCTATATGCCTCTCCTTGAAGTATCTGTATAACTCCAATCATGATTAATTAAGTAAATTTGATTATCAAGTAATTTATCCTTACATTTTAGGGATTTTATTTTACAATTTATTTTGCTACTTCCTTTGGCACATATAAAAATACCATCTGAGGATGTGCTCGTCAACACCCACCGTCTCCCTGGCAAATGTTACGTCACAAAGTTTATTCCGTGGAATTATTAAAAACGTCCTCACACGTGGAATGAGTAAATACATCTTATAACTTCTATCTCTATCATAAACTGTACATATGTATAATAGAAGTGTGAAGACCACTGATAATATGGTTTTATGACTAGACTTCAACAAACTAATTGAAGGATATAAAACTAAAATTCATTACTGTACTTAACACAGTTTCTATCTTAATAAGGAATACTGTATTGTACACTACATGGAAAAAACTGTGCAAGTTCCTGTTTGCAGCCCTAATTATGATAGTCTTTAAACTAAGTGCATCATAAGCTTGACCAGATATACGGGAAAAAAAAATATATACAGGTATATGGAGTTTTCTGGAACTCATCCCCTGAAGTCATCATGCATAAAACTGTCCTGAAAATCACACTACTTTACTGTACTGTTTTATGACCGACTAAGAGTTTTTTTTTCAATAATGGTAAGAGCTGCTAAAACCTTTGTTCTTGACTTTATTTAAAAAACTGTATAAATATTTTGAGGACACGAAAAAAGTCACAGAACATTTAGTTTATTAATTTGTAACTTTCATCTTTATCACAGATTCTTGTTAATGTGTTCAAAATATAATTACTACTATGATGTATTTTCTAATCTTTCCTATGCACTTTCACTGGTGTTCTGTTTGCTGAAATAATGAGAACAAACCCCTTCACTGTTGAGGGCCATTTCAAGTAAGCACAATGCTTAACACAAAGACACGGGTCATTGCCGACTCACTACACTAGTCTGTCCCGTGATCATATAACATCCAAGTGTTGATACTGGTACTCAGGCCTCCCTGTGGATGTTGCCGGTGCTGGTGGTCGTTGTGCAATATAAACGGAGGCGGCTGTTGCTGGGTCCTGATAAACTATGATGGGTTGTGCTCCTTGGCCACCTCCTGCCATGGCTGACTGGGGAGGTAGGTGCACCACCCCACCTGCGTACTGCAGCAGAGGCCCCTCCGGGCCTACAGCGTGGCCGTGTGGTGCCGTCTGCTGATTGTGTATTCCAGGGACGTAACGTGGATGATGGGATGCCGGAGGCTGCATCTTGCCCTGATTTATTGGTGGTGGAGGCAATAAGGCACTCTCATTAGGCCCAGGTGGTGGGGGGGGTTTGGTAGTCTGCACACGACGCACCATCACCACGACTGTTATCACGAGGATGACACCAGCCAAACATGCCAGACCAACCACTAACATGAGAGTATTTCCATCTGGAGATTCATCTGGGGAAGAAAAGAAAAACTTAAAACTGAAGATCTAGATGTAATGTAACTGTATAGTAATACCCCGATTTACGCGGTTCTCGTTTACGCGATTCTACATTTATGCGGTACCCTGCCAGAACCGGAATGTTCACTTTACACGATGCATCTACTCATATACGCGGGAAGCGGCACGGGCAGGATGTGCACAAGGTCGCCCAGTCATCAAAACATTAACGAGTTCTTCACCCGTCACCCACCACAGCATGCCCCAGTCAGTGATAGTGATAGTGAGGATATGGACTTCGAGGGGTTTGACAAAGAGGCCCTGCAAGCCTCTGTGGTGGATAGTGATACAATTGATACAAGTGATACAGGTGAGGGCCAATAATCTGCCCTCTGCCTCAGAACCAACCCCCCATCCCCGTGTGGCCAGCCATCTTTTCTACTAATGTAAGTGTTAAAAAACCTAATATTATTGATATTTCTTTTAATTATTAATTGTGTGTGCATACCATCATAAAATTAAGAAGTTATTTTTACTACAACGTAGGTATTGTGTCTGAAAAAGTGGAGTTTGGGGGTCGGCCCGGTCTCCAATTAATCCCATATGTTCTGTTGTTCACTTTAAGCGTTTCCCACTTTACGCGGGCCTCCGTGAGTTCAATTGACCGCGTACAGCGAGGTATTACTGTACTTAATTACTGAAATTAATCCCACCAAATTTCAAGTCTGAAAGAAAATCATATTTGGGTGAAAAAACGCGTTTTTTCCAGGGTCAAGACAAAACGCAATATACGCGATTTTGTTCAAAATCACAGTATAGTTACTCCTGAGCCTGCCGCTTCCGAATCTATCATCGACAGTTCGATTGTGGAATAATTAGTGGTTGTAATGATGCTTGGAATATTTAAATGAAATTTTTCTCAATGCTTATTTCAGAACTCGCCATTTATTGGTTTTTATGTTCTTCTGGATGTACTTAATTACTGAAATTAATCCCACCAAATTTCAAGTCTGAGATAAAATCATATTTGGGTGAAAAAACGCGTAAGGGTCCTCCCTTACGCGTTTTTTCCAGGGTCGAGACAAGACGCGATATACGCGATTTTGTTCAAAATCACAGTCCAGTATTACCCCGTTTTACGCAGGGTTTTTTTTACGCATTTTCACGTTTACGCTGTACCCTGCAGAACACGGAATGCTCACTTTACGCCGTGCGTGTACTCTTTTATGCGGAGAGCAGCTGGCGGTCCTCTCGCGCCATGCCATTTTTGGGTTTAAGCCTCCCACCATCTCTCCCGCCCTCTCCCGCCATCCCGCCATGTTGGGTAAGCGGCACGAGTAGGTTGCGCAGTGTATGTGTTTGTTGCGTTATCTGTGACGTCATATGACGTATCGGACTGTGATTGGGCCAAGCATCCTTACCTCCCTCCCCCGCTAGCTGTGATTGGTTTAATGTACTATGACGTGCCCCGCCGCGGGAGAATTCAAGCCCCTTGACCTACCCGCGTCAGTTACACCCCTCCCGGCTACACCGTGTATATCGGTATCTATTGTTCCATAAGAATGGCTTCCACCGGACCACCACCACCACCACAAAGAAACCTTGCATTACCTGGACCCAGCCGCCCTAAGCCAAAGAAGATACGACGTGCCCTAAGCTATGAAATGAAATACAAGATCATCCAAGAGTTGCGGAAAGGAACAAGACAGGTTGATCTCGCGCGCCAGCATGGTGTTAACGAATCTACGATCCGGACAATTAAGAAGGATGCAGCCAAGATAAAGGAGCACATGAACATCACAAAGTCTACAGGTGCTTCTATGATCACGTATTGCCACAACCAGATGCTTCTCAAGACAGAGAAATTACTTGTGAGCTACTTGATTCGTCAGGCGCGACGGAACATGGTGGTGGACACTCACTCAGTTAAGGAGTACGCGCGTGAACTGTATGTTGCAGTGTCATGTAAGATGGGAATTGCAGAGCCCAAACCCTTCAATGCTTCCTCTGGGTGGTTGCAGAGGTTTAAGAAGAGGAACAAGATCACCAACATTAACATTGGTGATGAAGAAGCTAGTGCTGACCGTGTTGCGGCAAGGGATTTTCCTCCATTTTTACGTGAGATTATGGAGGAAGGACAGTACACCGACGACCAGGTGTTTAACATGGATGAATCTGGTCTTTTTTTGGAAAAAGCTACCTTCCAAGACCTTCGTTGTGAAGAATGCCAGCAAGTGTCGGGGCCGGAAGTTGCAGAAGGAGCGCATCACCGTCCTGTTTACCACCAATGCCTCCGGTACCTGTAAGCTCAAGTTATCGGTGATCCACATAGCACGCAAGCCGCACACCTACAAGAGCATGGACATGACCAAGCTAAATGTCCACTGGTTGACCGCACGTAAGGCGTGGATGTTCTCTACTCTGTCCCTCTCCTGGTTTGATGACTGTTTCGTTCCCAACGTGAAGAAATTCTGTGAGCAACAGAATGTTCCATTCAAGATTTTGTTGCTGCTTGACAACGCACCAGGACACTCGCCCCTACTGTTGGATCGTCACCCCAACGTAAAAGTGGTCTTCCTTCCTCCCAACACTACTTCATTAATACAGCCCATGGACCAAGAATTGATCCGTAATGTGAAAGCTGCATTCTCTGCAAACAAGTTTAAGCTCCTGAACGACTACACCAACACCAAGGATGAGTTGTGTAACCTGGGTGACACCGATAGCAAGAGCGAAGACGACGAGGAACAACAGTTGGCAGAGCAAGAAGTACTTGTGAAACATTTTTGGAGAAAATTCAACGTCAAGAAAGCTGTGGACTTCTTGGTGGAGGCATGGGATCAGCTGTCTGTAGCAACGGTTCGTCACGCATGGAGACACGTGTTGCAAGATATTCCAGGTGGGAGGCAGAGTCAATCTGTGACTGGTGAGGTTCTGACTGTTGCAGTAGCAGTGGACCTTGCCAGAGAAGATGCGCAGAATGTTACAGCTACAGGCTTCTCCGAGACCACCAACGATGACATCCTGGAGGTGATAAGGGATCCTGATGTGACTGCCGACGAGATGTTAGATGATGATGACGTCAGTGAAGAGGCAGGGGTGCGTCATCCCAAGAAGAACACAAGTTATCTCACAGTAATGTAAGGGGTGCCATCGAGTGTGTTGAGAAACTCAAGCTCCTCCTTTTCGACGACCCTGACGATAACCGGTATGAAGTCTTCATTACCCAGCTGTTGCAGACTATGGAGCCCTACATCAAGGTGTATCACGACAACATCAACACCAGCCGTCAGCAAAGCATTACCGAGTTCTTCGCCAGCAACCCACCACAGCCAGCCCAAGCCAGTGATAGTGACAGAGATAGAGACAGTGATGGTGACTTTGAGGGATTTGTCAGGGAGGCCCTGACAAGTGTGGATGACAGTGATGATGACTCACCTGAGGGCCAGTAGCCTGCCCTCTGCCTCTGAACCAGCCTCCATTCCCGTACGCCGACCCATCTCTTCTACTAACGTAAGTGTTAAACCTAACCTTGTTTTTTCTAACCTAACCTACAGTATATTATTCTCTTATTGATTATTCCCTTCTATATTATGTGTGTGTGCATACCATCATGAAGTTAAGATGTTATTTTTACTAAAACGTAAGTACTGTGTCGGGAAAAAGTGGAGTTTGGGGTTCGGCCTGGTCTCTATTTCAATTAATCCCATATGTTATGTTGTTCACTTTACGCGTTTCTCACTTTACGCGGGCTGCCGTGGGTTCAATTGACTGCATAAAGCGAGGGTTCACACGTAATCCTGAGCATGCAGCTTCCGAATCTATTATCGACAGTTTGATTGCGGAATAATTAGTGGTCGTAATAATGCTTGGAATATTTTAATTAAATTTTTCTCATTGCTTATTTCAGAACACACCATTTATTGGTTTCTAAGGAGATTGGTTGGTGTTTTTATGTTCTTCTGGGTGTACTTAATTACTGAAATTAATCCCACCAAATTTCAAGTCTGAGAGAAAATCATATTTGGGTGAAAAAACGCGTAAGGGTCTGTAAGGGCAGAAACGATCCTCCGGCTAGTTACCGCTGCTAACTCGCTCGTTTGCTGGTGCAGACGACACTTGGGGTGGTTGGACGGAGGTGATAACGGCAGCAACCCTCTCCGCCGCGGGGAGATTCAACCCAGCCGCCATACCGTCAGTATCTAGCTACCCTGCTGTCCGTCAAATTCTGGCTGTGATCTCATCATAGGTCCTGGACTCGTGGGCTGTGTTCCCAGACCTTCACCTATCAACTGCCAACTCTCTGGTCATCTACCACTACCGCATACCACGACCATCAGTTCATCACATTCCGTCGGTGCCCCGGTGTTCTCCTGCCTTTTCAAGACGTTGCTGAGTGTGGAGTGAATGGACGCTTCCCTGCCCTGAGTGTGCATCACCGTGTTCCAGAACCTTCCCCCAGGGCCACTGCCGTAGGAAATATTTGTTCATTGTTTGATTCCATTAATTGCTGACTCCCCTTTATTGTTCGATTCTATCAATTGTTGACTCCATTTAATTGTTTGATTCCATTAATTGCTGACTCCCCTTTATTGTTCGATTCTATTATTTGTTTGATTCCTTTAAGTGTTTGCTTCCTTTAATTGTTTGACTCCCGTAATTATTTGATGTTTGTTGAGTGGTGTCAGAGTTTTGTTATATTTTTATAGTAAAGAGATGCCAATCTCTAACGGTTGTTTGTTATTCCTCGGAAAACCATGGTCCTTGACTTTCCTATATTAAGATCCTGATTAGCCTGGTAAGGGATTTCTATCCCTAAGTCCCAGGCCTTTACAGGGTCCCCCATTATGTGTTTTTTCCAGGGTCGAGACGAAACGCGATATACGCGATTTTGTTCAAAATCACAGTATAGGTAATCCTGAGCATGCCGCTTCCGAATCTATCATCGACAATGAAAGACATGAGAATAAAAAGAAATACTGTATTGCACTACAAAAAAAAATCACCAAAAGTGAC